GATTTTTTCCCCCATTTCTTCCCCCGGCCCCTCCCCCCTCCCCATTTCAGCCCAAAATTCCCAAAATTTTGGGGTTTTTTGGGCGTTTCCCACTCACTCCGTCTCCCGCTCCAGGGCCTCGGCCACCACGTGGGGGAGCCTGGAAGGGGCGGAGCCAGAGTTAGCCACGCCCCCTTTACCATATATGGTCATACTACACCTGAACACCATTTATGGTCAGGCCACGCCCCCAAAACCTCTCACTGTTACAAGCCCCTCCCTCTCTAATTAAGCTCCTCCCACTCACCAATGAATGCCATTTAAGCCACACCCCTTCCATTAAATCAGCCCCACCCCCTCCCTAATTAACCCAATTAATTAGGCCCCACCTCTTCCAATTTACTCTGAGGCAAAGCCACGCCCCCTTTTTGAAGCCACGCCTCCTCACTAATTCTAATTGGGCTCTGGCCACGCCCCCTTTTCATAGCCACACCCCTTTCATTTCACTCCAATGGCAGAGAAGCCACGCCCCCTTTAATGGATTTCAATGGGGATTAAGCTCCACCCTCTTTCCCAAAGCCACGCCCCCTCCATAGACTCCAATAGAACCTAAGCCACGCCCCCTCCCATAGACTCCAATGGACGCTAAGCCACGCCCCCTCCCATTAACTCAAATGATAGCTAAGCCACGCCCCCTCCCATAGAGGCCAATGGAAACTAAGCCACGCCCGTCCCATTAAATCAAATGGCAGCTAAGCCACGCCCCCTCCCATTAACTCCAATGGAAATTAAGCCACGCCCCCTCCCATAGACTCCAATGTGGCCTAAGCCACACCCCCTCCCATAGACTGCAATGGCAGCTAAGCCACGCCCCCTCCCACTGACTCCAATGGGCCCCAGGCCCCGCCCACCTGTCAATCAAGTCCTGAGGGAGCTTCCGGAGGCGCCTCCTGAGCACAAGGGCGGCCAAGTGTCGGACCTGGGAGCCCCAAAATCGCCCAAATTCACCCCAAAATCCGGCCCCAAACCCCCAAATTCAAACTCCAATGGAAATTAAGCCACGCCCCCTCCCATAGACTCCAATTGTGCCTAAGCCACGCCCCCTCCCATAGACTCCAATGGCAGCTAAGCCACGCCCCCTCCCATTGACTCCAATGGGCCCCAGGCCCCGCCCACCTGTCAATCAAGTCCTGAGGGAGCTTCCGGAGGCGCCTCCTGAGCACAAGGGCGGCCAAGTGTCGGACCTGGGAGCCCCAAAATCGCCCAAATTCACCCCAAAATCCGGCCCCAAACCCCCAAATTCAGCCCAAATCCACCTGGGAACCCCAAAATTCAAAAATTCACCCCAAAAATCCCTCAAATTCACCCCAAAATTCAGCCAAAATCCCTCAATTTCACCCAAAATTCAACCCAAAATTCACCCAAAAAATCCCGAAATCCACCTGGGAACCCCAAAATTCCTCAAATTCACCCCAAAACCCCCCAAAATTCCGGTCAGGATGCTCAAATTCCCTGCAAATCCCTCCCAAAATCCCAATTTTTTCCCCAAAATCACCTCAGGACCCCCCAAAATTCCCCAAATTCCGCCCAAAATCCCCCAAATTTTCCCCAATATTCCCCCAAAATCCCACCAAACCCCCAAATTTTCCCCAAAATGTCAAATTTCCCCCCAAAATCCCAAATTTTCCCCAAAAATTGCCCCCAAACCCCCTCAGGATCCCCCAAAATTCCCCAAATTCCCCCCAAAATCCCCAAATTCTCCCCAAAATCCCCTCATGACCCCCTAAAATTCACTAAATTCCCATAAAAATCCCAAAATTTTACCCTAAAATCCCAAAATTTCCCCCAAATCCTCCCAAATTCCCAAAAATTCCCCACAAAATCCCAAATTTCCCCTCAGAATTCCCAAAATCTCCCCCAAATCCCTTCAGGAACCCCCAAACCTCCCCAAAATCCCCAAATTCCCAACAAAATGCCAAAAATTTCCCAAAATTCCCCCAAAATTCCAAAATGCCCTGAAAATTCCTCCCAGTTTTCCCCTCAAAACACAAAATTCCCCCCAAAAATCCCAAAATTTCCCCAAAATTCCCACCAAAATCCCAAATTTTCCCCCAAACTCCTCAAAACTTCACCAAAATCTTGAAAATTCCCAAAATTCTCCCCCAAAATTCCACCAAATTTACCAAACTTCCCTAAATTCTCTACAAAATTCCCAAAATTTCCGTCAAAATCCCAAAATTTTCGGCCAAAATCTTCCCAAATCCACTCAAGACCCTCAAATTTCCCCCCAAATTTCCTCAAATTCTCCCCAAAATTGCCCCAAAATCCCCAAATTTGACCCAAACGCCAAAAATTCCCAGCAAATTTTCCAAAAAATCCCAAAATTCCTCTCAAAATCCAGAAATTTTCCCAAAATCCCTTCAGGGATCCCCAAATTCCCTCCAAAATCCCAAAATTTGCCACAAAATCCCCCAACTTTCCCCCAAAATCACAAAATTCCTCCCAATTTTTTCCCTAAATCCCAATAATTTCCCCCAAAATCCCAAAAACTTCCCTCAAATCACCCAAATTCCCTCCAAAATTAAAAAATTTGCCCCAAAATCCCAAAATTCCCCCCCAAAATCCCAAATTTCCCCTCAAAATTCCCTCCAAAACCCCAAAATTTGCAAATTCCCACCAAATTCCCACCAAAATCACAAAATTGCGCCCAAATCCCCCAAAATTTTAAAAAAATCCCCAAAATTCACCAAAATTCCCAAATTTGCCCCAAATTCCTCAAATCACCCCCAAAATTCTCCCAGATTTTCCCGCCAAAATCCCCTCAGGGAGCCCCAGATTCCCTCAGGATCCCCCAAATTCCCGCCAAAATTAAAAAATCTGCCCCAAAATCCCAAAATTCCCCCCAAAAATCCCAAATTTCCCCTCAAAATTCCCTCCAAAACCCCAAAATTTGCCACCAAATTCCACAAATTTCCCCCAAAAATCCCAAAATTCCTCCCAATTTTTCCCCTAAATCCCAATAATTTCCCCCCAAATGCCCCCCAAATTCTCACCAAAATCACAAAATTGCCCCCAAATTCCCCAAAATTAAAAAAAAATCCCCCAAATTCCCAAATTTGCCACAAAATCCCCCAAATTTCTCCCAAAATCCCAAAATTCCTCCCAATTTTTCCCCTAAATCCCAATAATTTCCTGCAAATTCCCCCCAAAATCACAAAAAATTCCCACCAAAATCCCAAAATTGCGCCCAAATACCCCAAAATTTTAAAAAATTCCCCAAAATTCCCAAATTTGCCCCAAAATCCCCCAAATTTCTCAAATTCCTCAAACGCCCCCCCCAAATCCCCCGAAATTTTTTAAAAAATCCCCCAAATTCACCAAAATTCCCAAATTTGCCCCAAATTCCTCAAACGCCCCGCAGATTTTCCCGCCAAAATCCCCTCAGGGAGCCCCAGATTCCCTCAGGACCCCCCAGATTCCCGCCAAAATTAAAAAAATTGCCCAAAATCCCAAAATTTGCCCCAAAAAATCCCAAATTTCCCCTCAAAATCCCCGCCAAAACCCCCGAAATTCCCCCCAAACCCCCCCGATTTTTCCAAATTCCTCAAACGCTCCCCAGATTTTCCCGCCAAAATCCCCTCAGGGAGCCCCAGATTCCCTCAGGATCCCCCAAATTCCCGCCAAAATTAAAAAATCTGCCCAAAATCCCAAAATTTGCCCCCAAAACCCCAAATTTCCCCTCAAAATTCCCGCCAAAACCCCAAAAATTCCCGCCAAACCCCCCCAGATTTTTCCCGCCAAATCCCCCCTCAGACCTGCGGCCTCCCCGCCCCCCCGAGCAGCTCCGCGAGGCCTTCGGGCCCCTCCGGCTCCTCCAGCGCCTCCCGCAGCCGCTCCGTGGCCTGGAAAAAAGCCCAAAACTTCAGCAAAAACACCAAAAATCCGCGAATTCGCCCAAATTTACCCGGATCTCGGGATATTTGAGGCACCTGGCGGATCCCGGCGCTGTCGGGCTCCAGGAGGTCCGACAAAATCTGCTCCATAGCGGGCGCCGCCATTTTGGAGAAAGAGGGGGCGGCCATGTTGCAGCAGCGTGAAGGAGGAAGCGGGGCGGAGCGCCGCCGGAAGTGGGCGTGGCTAAGGGGCACGCTAGCCGCTCTGGAGGACTTCTCTATGGTTTTAAAGCGGTGATGGAGGGTGGGGACCGCTCTTAAAGGGGCAATGGTGGAAAACGGCGATTTTGGGGTTAGAAGTGACGGATTTGGGCAAAATTTGGTCGATTTGGAGATAAAAATGAAGAATTTGGAGTCAAAAAGGGGAGTTTCGGAGTTTAAAGGGGTTTTTTTGAGGGGAAAATGTGGGTTTGGGGTGAAAAATGGGCATTTTGGGGCTTAATTTGCTTTTTTTGAGAAGAAATAGGGGATGAAATATTAAAAACTGAGAGTTTGGAATAAAAAATTGAAACTTTAAGGATAAACATGGGGAATTTGGGCTGAAATGGTTAAATTTGGGCTGGAATGGTCATTTTGGAATCATAATGTTGATTTTGTGTCCAAAACCGGTGATTTTGGGTTATTTCATGGCCAAAAAAAGGGATTTTGGGAGAGGAAACACATTTTGAGGGGGGAAATGAGGATTTGGGGGCTAAAAAGAAGAATTAGTGATTTTTTCAGAGTTGAATTGGTAATTTTGGGGTTAAAAACTGACATTTCAGGGCTTAAAATTGAAATTTTGGGGCAAAAATCGGGGATTTTTTAAAAGCTCTTAAAAGGGCAATGCTTCATGTGGGGACCACCGCACCCTTAAATCGGCAATGCCCTTAAAAGGGCAATGTTGTCTTAAAAGGGCAATGCTGGTTATAAGTGGGGCCCACCCCTAATTTTAAGCAGGAAATGACGTCACCGACACGCCTATGACGTCACAAACGCGCTGCTGACGTCATCAGCGAACCTTTATTAAATAATAACGGATCCATGAACAGGAAATGACCTCAGGGAAAGGGGAAACGAAGGTGGGCGTGGCTTAAAGGGAAAGGAGGCGTGGTCAGAGCATGGCCACGCCCCCTCAGGGCCTGGCCACGCCCCCTCGCAGGGCCAGCACAAGATGGAGGACGGAGCCCCCCTGGATTTTGTAGTCGGCCGCCGTCTTCTCATCGTTCCTGGGGGAGGAGTCAAGAAAGGCCACGCCCACTTAGGCCACACCCACTTTGCTGCCCAACCCTCGTTTACTGCAAATCCATTGTTGGCCACGCCCCCTTGAGCCACACCCACCCCATTCAACCCCAAATTTTCCCTTTGCCACCCAAATTTAATTAAGCCCCGCCCACTTTGGCCCCTCCCATTTAAGCCCCGCCCCCAGCCACCACTGGAACTTTTGCTGCCATTTTCACCCAAATTTCCCCGTTTTAACAGAGATTTAATCCAAATTTTCCCGTTTTTCACCCAAATCCTGCTAAGCCCCTCCCCTTCAAGCCCCACCCACTTAGGCCACGCCCCCAGCCGCCATTTTAACCTCTTTTGCCGCCATTTTGACCCAAATCTCCTCATTTTCAACCCAAATCTTCCAATTTAAGCCCCGCCCCTTTAACATGTGGTCACGCCCCTCCCATTAAGCACCTCCCAACCCTGACCACGCCCACACAAGCCCCACCCCGCCGCCATTTTAAGCCCATTTGCCGCCATTTTAACCCAAATTTCCTCACTTTAAGCCCTAAATCTTCCCATTAAACCCCGCCCCTTTACCCCGTGGCCACGCCCCTTTATGCCTCTTCCCTTATGTCTACGACTGACCACGCCCACTTAAGCCCCGCCCCTCCACAGCTTTAACCCCATTTGTTGCCATTTTAACCCAAATTTCCCCATTTAAAGCCAAAATTGTGCCATTGAAGCCCCGCCCCTTTAACATGTGGCCACGCCCCTCCCATTAAGCAACTCCCATCCCGACCACGCCCACACAGGCCCCGCCCCCGCCACCATTTTAGCCCCATTTGCCGCCATTTTAACCCAAATTTCCCCATTTCCAACCCAAATCTTTCCACTTAAGCCCCGCCCCTTTGCTCTGAGACCACGCCCCTTCCATTAAGCCCTGCCCAACCCTGACCACACCCACACAAGCTCCACCCCCGCTGCCATTTTAACCCTATTTGCCGTCATTTTAACCCAAAATCCCCCATTTAAAACTGAAATTGTCCCATTGAAGCCCCGCCCCTTTATCCGCAGACCACGCCCACCTCCATAAGCCCCGCCCATCACTGACCACGCCCATCTAACCCATGTCCCTGCCGCCATTTTAGCCCCATTTGCCGCCATTTTAACCCAAATCTCCCCATTTTCACCCCAAATCTTTCCACTTAAGCCCCGCCCCTTTGCTCTGAGACCACGCCCCTTCCATTAAGCCCTGCCCAACCCTGACCACACCCACACAAGCTCCACCCCCGCTGCCATTTTAACCCTATTTGCCGTCATTTTAACCCAAAATCCCCCATTTAAAAATGAAATTTTGCCATTGAAGCCCCGCCCCTTTATCCACAGACCACGCCCACCTCATTAAGCCCCGCCCAACTTTGACCACGCCCATTTAACCCACGGCCCGGCCGCCATTTTAACCCCATCTGCCGCCATTTTAACCCAAATCTCCCCATTTCCAACCCAAATCCTTCCAGTTAAGCCCCGCCCCTTTAACATGAGATCACGCCCCTCACGTTAAGCCCCGCCCACCCGTGGCCACGCCCCCTCGGGAAGCCCCGCCTACATCTGCTTGCCGCTGTAGATCAGCCGCTGCTGCTGGGGGGGGATCCCCTCCTTCTCCTCCACCCGCTCCTTGATCCGCTCCACCTGCGGCCGAAAAAACACCGCTGGGCACATCTGGGGCACACCTGGGCACACCCGGGGCACATCTGGGAACACCCGGGGCACATCTGGGCACATTCGGACACATCTGGAGGCTCCGGAGGGTTAAAAATTGTGGGCGCCGCCATTTTGGGTCACAGAGAGGAAGGAGCGCGGCGGAGCGCCGCCGGAAGTGGGCGGGGCTAAAGGGGAAGGGCTGGCCGGCTTGGAGGACTCGTCTATGGTTTTTTAAAGGGGCGATGGGAGGTGGGGACCGCGTTAAAGGGGGGATGGCGGTGGGAGGGACTGGGGGGGACTGGAATCAAATTGGGAGGGACTGGGATGGACTGGGAGGGACTGGGATGGAACTGGGAGGGACTGGGGGGGACTGGGATGGACTGGGAGGGACTGGGATGGAACTGGGAGGGACTGGGAGAGACTCAGTTATACTGGGAAGGACTGGGAGCCACTGTGAGGGACTGGGATGAACTGGGATAGACTGGGAGGGGACTGGGAGGGAACTGGGAGGGACTGGAATCAAACTGGGACGGACTGGGAGGGACTGGGATCAAACTGAGAGGGACTGGGAGGGACTGGGATGAACTGGGATGGACTGGGAGGGAAGTGGGAGGGACTGGGAGGGAACTGGGCCATATTGGGATGAACTGGGAGCTACTGGGACGCCCCTAACCCTTACTGGGACCGAACTGGGAGCCCCCCCCGCCCCCAATCCCGCTCCTTCCCGACCCCCAGCTGGTCCGTACTGGTCCGTACTGGTTTGTACTGGTCCGAACTGGGAGCTCACCTTGTCCGTGGGCTCGATGTCGATCTCGATCTCTTTTCCCGTCAGCGTCTGTAGGGGGCGCCATCATCCCACAATGCACCGCGCGCTCCCCTCACGCTGCCCCCCCGCCAAAACCGCCCCCAAATCCGCGATTTTCACCCCAAATCCCCTCCGCGCCTCCCCTCCCCCCTGAGGGACGGCGGGAAACGCCGGGATTTGCCCGAAATCCGCGGGTTTCGCCCCAAAAAAACCTTGACTTTGATGAGCATCGTGGCGGCTGCGGCGCCTTCGGAGCCGCCGAGCGGAAGCGGAAGCGAGGCCCCGCCCGCTAAACCCGCAGTGCCAAAACCTGAAATGGCGGAGGGAGCGCTTCCGGTCTCTCCGCCAATCAGCGCGCTGCGCCCGCCCCTTGCCAGCAGTTAAAATGGCGGCGGTTGTAGTTCACAAAGCGCTTTTGGGCTCTGAAGGCGCCTCATTGGTTGCAGCCGCTGTCAATCAGCGTCGGTCACAGCCCGCCTTTACCGGGCTGCTCCATTTTGTGTGGCGCATGGGGGAAAACCCCAAAAATGCCTTTTTTAACCCCAAATTTAGCTGTTGAAACGCTCAGTGACGTCACGCCAGGCGTCACACCCCTCCCTAGCCGTGCACCGCTGTGATTGGCTCGTAAAAACCCCCCCAAAATCCCATTGGCTGCTGCATCCTCCCCCCTACATCAGAATGGTTCGCGCCACTCACGGTAGGGGGAGAAGCGAAGGGGGCGGAGCCTGCGGCGGCGGGGGCGGGGCTTCGTCCTGATTTAATGAGATTATAAACATTAATTAGCAGCCTAATTAACAAGTAATTAGGAGGTGGAGGTTGTGGGCGTGGCTACTCACGTGGGCGTGGTTTTCTGAGCCGGAAGTGAGCGTGGCACCGGAACTGTGGGCGGAGTTCAAGGCAAGTCAATCACCTAATTTGCATATTGCTCGCCCCACCCACTTTTAGCCCCACCTACCTGGGTGGGCGTGGCGAACCTCGGCAAAATAACGCTGCAGGATGGGGAGGGGGCGTGGCTTGGAGCCTGGAGGGGCGTGGCTTTTACAGAGCTGGACCAGCTGTGCCAAATAAGGAAAAAGAGGCGGGGCTTAAATGAAAAGGGGCGGGGTGGGAGGATTTGGGTCAATTTTGGGGATTTTGGGAAAATTTGGGGAATTTTTGACTATTTTGAGAGGTTGGGGGTCAATTTTGGGTGAATTTTGGGGAAATTTTGGTTGATTTTCTGTTAATTTTGGGTGATTTTTTTGGTAATTTTATGTTAATTTTTTGTTAATTTTTTGTGATTTTCTTGTTAATTTTCAGTGAATTTTTGTTAATTTTATGTTAAGTTTTTGTTAATTTTGTATGAATTTTCTTGTTAATTTTGGGTGAATTTTTGATAATTTTAGGATTTTTTTGTTAATTTTATGTTCATTTTTTGTTAATTTTTTGTGGTTTTTTTGTTAATTTTGGGTGAATTTCTGTTGATTTTATGTTAATTTTTTGTAAATTTT